ATTTAAGTGGTGATACTCAGCTGACGTGAAGATTATACTGGGTTTGGAACTACAGGGAGTACAAGATGAAAAAAGTAGTTTTAGGAACCACCAGAATATATGTGGTAGTAAAAACCATGGAGGAAGAGAGCTAAGGATGGAACACTGAGGGATACCAACCTGTACCAGAAGAAGAGGAACTGGAACCAGCCAGAGGTTCTGAGGATTAGCCATTTAAGAAGCAGAAAGTGGTAAGATAGAAAGAGAGAAGAGGTGTAAGAAGGAGGAAGTGGTCAGTTGTGTTGAAGGCAACAGAGAGGCCTCAGAGGTGTCCAGTGGATTGGGCAATCACTGAATGGTGAACTTTGCTAGAGCAGTTTGAGTTGAGCAGGGTGAAAAGAAGTCACGTTCAAAATGTAGAACGAAGTCACAGAGTGAGGGGACATGTCAGATGCCTCCCCTCTGTCCCTCCAGATCCATGCTCTACCCTCCACCACTCTGCTCTGTGTCCTAGATAAACAGCAACATCAACAGGATACCATTGAGTGACTCCATTGAGTTTGGCCAATAGTGAGCCCTGAGAGGAGATTGGAGGGAAGAAGGAGTGAGGCAGGTATATATAGTCTTCCAATTCCCTCCTTACGGAGTCTGCTGCATTCACTCAACCAAAGGTCACAACTCTCTCCAGCTTGGTTCAGGTGACCACCTTCCCCTGGCTTCTTTCAGGCCCTAGAGTGGTAATAGCTCTGCTTTGCTAGTCCTGGTGTTCTCTATCCACCCCACCCCCTTGTTTCCTCTACATCCTGCCCACATTTCTATAAGCCTTCCACGAATTATCTTAATTTGAGCACACTATCTGTGTCCTGCTGGAACCCCGAATAATGCAAGGAGGAACCCTGACTGGAAGGAGCAAACCGATAGAAATATGTCAAGATAAGGAAGGTTTTGTCATGGGGCTTATTTTGTAAAGGTTGGAGAGGTTTGGCTATGTTGACAAGTTCATGAAGTTTCAACAGTGAGGCCTATTTCAGCGGTGTGATCTGATAGGAAGGAAGAAATGGGCAGAGAGCTCTCGCACTTGCTTCTGGAGTTGACGACATTATTGGTGGCCTCACCACTGTATCTTAAGACTTTCTAGAACCTGTGTTTCCAGTTTGACCAAGACAGCCCATTTGCCAGGTTTGCCCATGGCTGTGTTGGCAAGTACTGGTCTGAGTAATGAGCTCATGGAAAAGTAGACACAGAGACTAAAGAAGAAGAAAGAACAAAGGTCAGGACCTTACCAAACGCAGTGCACTAAGGCAGTCAGACGATAAAGTCATTGGTGTTTTTTTAAACTTTGCAAGGCTCTGTACGAACCAGCCTCCTCCTCTTGCCAATCTCCTCTGTTGCTCTCCTGTTGCTGCTTTCATTGTTCAGCTCTGCCTCATGGGCCTCCTCTCACTTTTCTCAAATAATAAGCCCTGTTCTGCCCTTGAGCCTAAATTCTGACCTTTCCATTCTCCGTGACCTGGCACTTTCCCCAGCTAACTCCTTCTCATCCTCAGATCTCATCTTAAGTGCCAATTCCTCAGCAGCCTGACCACCCAATCCAAACCAGTCCCCTTTGTTCCTCTTCTTCATGAGCCCTGGACTCCTCTTTCCTGTAGTTATCACATTTTCAAATGTATTGAGGTGGAGAATTTTATTTGGGAAGTCTCCTAGATCTTCTGATAAACCTTTCATTTTTATTTGTTTTTACCTCTAAGTCTATAATTCATCTGGAATTTATTTTTGGTATATTGTCTATGGCAGGAGCCCCTTCCCAGTCTGTGCTTCTAAAGCATTCAGTTGGACACTCTTACAGCTCTTCCTCTCACTCATCCACTAACAGTCTCTCAGTGGCTAATGACTTTGTACTAGGCCCTTTATTGCACACAAAGGATAAAAAGAGAATACCCTTATCCCAAAGGGTAAAAAGAGAATGACAGAACTTCCGGGTGCTAGGCCAGAGAGGATCTCAGTATACTTGGGGAAGCAGACACATGAATAAAAAAATGACAGCATAACAAGGTAAATGCCTTAATGACAGGCAATGGTTATAATCTTACAGAATTTTGGCAAAGAATGTGTTTCTATTCATTTCAGTCTCTCAGGTTGTAGCACTGCATCTTACCCACTGACATAACTTAGTAAATATTTTAACAATTAGCTTGAGTTGTAAAAGCTTTTGCTTGTCTCCAAATTTCCAAACACACGTTCACTACTCATTGGACATCTCCACCAGGTGTCTGATATGCATTTCCTATACAAGATGTCCTAAGCAGAATTCTCTCCTCCATAGCCCAATCCTCCTTTACTCTTCCCCTCAGTTGTCTGGTGTAGAAGCTCAGAATCATTCTCAATACTACTCTCTCTTTAACCCTACATCCAGCCCGTCACCATGTCCTGTCTATTTAGTACATAAATACTTAGGTCATGAATGACTCTTTCACTTATCTCCACCATCTTGGGTCAAGCCTCATTATCACTTCCCTGAATTGGTCAAAAACGGGCCAACAGATCTCTCTGCCTTTTCTATCCTTTCTCTACAATCTTCTAACTGCCCCCACAGTCTTGTTTCTGAAAAACAAATCTGACATTATCATTCTCTTGCTGAAAATCCTTTTGTGGCTCCCCAGTGTTCTGGAGATAAAGTTCAAAATTTTTAAGCATGTCTCAATGGAAACATCTCAATCTGGCTATAGGTAAATCTATCCCAAACAAGCAATCTAAAACATGGAAAAAGTTATATACACAGAGTTGTTCACTGGGTACTATATTAGCTTTCTATTACTGCTCTAACAAATTACCACAAATGTGTGCCTTACAATATCACAGTAGAAAGATGAAAAGGTCCCTGGACTTTGTAACTCTAGATTTACCTTTGTGCAAATGAATAACTTTTGTCTGCTTAAGTCAAGGGACATTGAGTTTTCTGTTATTTTTAGTCAAATACAACTGTTAACTGATAAAACTAGTTCTATAATTAAAATAAAGAAGAAAAAATGGTTTGATTCCAAGTTATATTTCTCTAATTCCTCATAATCCATTCCATGAATAAACCAAGACCTCTGTTCTAAGTTCTGCTCATCCTCTTTTCTCTTTCCTAATGCCTTCTAATCCCTACCCTACTTCTTTCTTAGTCTAGCAAACTCCTACTCATCCTTCAAAGCCCAGCTCAAATGTTACACCTCCCACAAAGTCTTTCCCAAGCTTTCCCTCAAATAGATTCGGCATCATTTTTCCCGTGGCATTTTGGCAATATTTCTATACACTTCAGACACTATATTGTATTTGTCTGGGGAGAATTTGATGACACATTTGATTGAAAGTAGGAAAAAAGTGGAAAAGCATAGGAAGTACTTCAGGGTAGAAAATCAGAATTCAGAATGAGGATCCCTCAGTCTCTTGTATCCTAAATCATGATCTATCATGACCAAAAGCAGTGTGATTGGAGCAGGCCTGGTCCAAACTCAGAGTCACAGTGATGAGGGTCTGAATCCCAGCTCCACTTACCACTTGGTTGAATGTTGAGGAGGTGGGTCACTTCCATGCACCTTCCTCTGACATAGTTTCCTTCTCTGACAAAAAAGACTAGAAATACTTGCTTGGCTGGCTCACAGAATTGTTGTGAAGATCAAAAAGGATCAGACCTGGGGCGCCTGGGTGGTTCAGTCAGTTAAGTGTCTGACTTCGGCTCAAGTCATGATCTTGTGGTCCGTGAGTTCGAGCCCCACGTCGGGCTCTGTGCCGACTGCTCAGAGCCTGGAGCCTGCTTTGGATTCTGTGTCTTCCTCTCTCTCTGACCCTCCCCCGTTCATGCTCTGTCTCTCTCTGTCTCAAAAATAAATAAACGTTTAAAAAAAATTAAAAAAAAAAAAAGGATCAGACCTGTGCATAAGATTTGCTATGATACCCAATACAAATGTGAATCATGCAACTTTATTATACATAAGAGAAACTCAATAGATATTTGGTGAATAATTGAATGAGCAAATGAATGAGCCCAGTTTGCTGAACATCTTATTTAAGTCAAAGACTAAATGCAGGAGTAACTTCTTCTTTAGGGTTTATATAAAATATAACCACTATATCACCATATATGACATTGTCATTATGAAGAAAGTTCTCTTACCCATGAAGCTACTGATTCTTAGACTACCTTTATATATGGAACAAAAATTTTTATTCCATCATTTGAGAAATGACTTGAAATGCACCAGTCCTGAGAAAGGTAACATAGCGACTTAAATTGCACTGAAGAATACATGACTATTTTCCTTTCTTTTTTTTTTTTAAAGCATGTTTTAATAGGGACTAAGGGGAGAATGAGCTTGTTTCATTTTGTTTTCATTTTTAAAGAGTAATATAAGGTTCTGTGTTATCTGTACTACTAAAGGGGCCAGCCGCCTACCACCCTGGTGGGCTGCAAAAGGAATCCTTTTTTATTTCCTTCATCTTCCTACCTTTGAAATTTTGGACCTCCTGCTTAACAACTTTTCTTTTTTCTGCATCACTTAACTTGAAAGATATATTATATAATATTGATTTGAAATGAAAAATAAAAGGGGTGCAGGAGGTAGCTCAGTCAGTTAAGCATCCAAATTTGGCTCAGGTCATGATCTCATGGCTCGTGAGTTCCAGACCTGTGTCGGGCTCTGTGCTGACAGCTCAGAGCCTGGAGCCTGCTTCAGATTCTGTGTCTCCCTCTCTCTGCCCCTCCCCACTTGCAGTCTGTCTCTCTGTGTCTCTGTCTCTCTCTCAAAAATAAATAACCATTAAAAAAAGAAATTAAAAATAAAAAGTAAACACAACATAACCACTAAATTTTATATGTATGTTTACATATATATGTGTGTATGTGTGTGTGTGTATACACACACACACACACACACTATATATATATATATTTGCATGTGTGTATGTAAATCTGACTTGGGAAAATATTAGAGTAGATCACAGGGAATTTTATTGCTTTATTTCCATATACCAAATGCCCACTAATCTGCTCTTGCTATGATCAAAACAGTCATCACAAACACCATAATGAAAAAAACCCACATGAAGAATCGGTCTATGACTTTTGCAACTTTCTTCCACTCACTCCCCTTGGAATTGGTGGCCTTGTGGTCTTTGAGGCACTTGGCAATGTACTCGATATTCCTTGTCAGCACTTTGTACCGTGCACAGTAACTGTCAGCATCCTGTGGGTTCTCACCCTGGCATCCCAAGTCATTCTTTAAGAGCTTGTTTATTTCCTTCTTTCTGGGGAGGTCTTTGTTTCTGTCCATGTTCAGATTTGGCTCTGGAAGTTTGCCATAAACCTTTGTGAGGTGGGTTCGCTCCCTGTTGTGGCGGGGACTAAGGCAGCTCTCACCCACATCGTAGACACACAAGACCTTGGACATGTATTTCAGGATGACCACCCTGGCCCAGGGTGGCACTGGCCGGGCCTCGGCCCCACAGAAGTGGATATTCATCACCATAATGGTCAACGCGGTGGAGGCTGTGATCAAAGCCATTGTGGCTATGTAGTATTTGCCTGGAAAATAACCACAACCGAGTTAGCTTAAAATTGTCCTTATGTTTGCCCCCCCTCCAAAAAAAAAAAAAAGAAAGAAAGAAAAGAAAAGAGAAGAAAGAAAAAGAAAAAAGAAACAAACACCTTTTCTAGGGAAGCTGTATACACTAATGGTTACTAGTATAAACTTCTGAAATCAAACTTTTTGGGTTCAAATGACAGCTCTATCACTTAGTAGACTTGTGGCCTAGAGCAAGCTGTACCATCCTGCTATGCCTCAGCTTCCTTCTCTGTAAAATGAGCATAATAATTAGATATACAGGCATACGTGAGGCTTAATGGAGACGATACATGTAAAGTTCTGAGGACTGTCTCTTGCACTGAGTTAGTTTTCTAAATGTTTGCTGAGATCATGATGTGAAAAAATTCCACTTTCAACAAACAACGATCTTGGCCAGCTCCCAGAATTGTCTTCAGACCTCTTTACTGTTGGGTAAGAAAGGAGGCACTATGTCACTGTTTGTCTTTAACATGTGATTGCATAAAGCAAATATTCATGAAAAAGGAAAGTTAAGGAAGGAATTAATAAAGGTGAAGGCACAAATTTATAAAATTTAGAACAACAACAACAAAAAAAATAAAGCAAACCAAAGAAAAAGCTATTTGAAAAGAGGAATAAAAGTGATAAACCTTTGATACAGCCACTCACAGAATACAGGCAGGGTGGTGGTGGGGAGAGAGAGAGAGAGAATATAAAAGAAGTAACAGGATAGAAATTTAGAATACAATAAAACAATATTATAAATAGCTGTACAATAATATATTTGAAAACCTAAATGAAATTTCTAGATACATAAGACATCAAATTTAGCATAAAAAAAAGGAATAGGAAAGCTCCAGAGTTGGTTTTATAGATGAGTTTTACCAAACTTTTACAAGTTTGTGCATGTCTTATACAAGTCTTACCATGTCAAGTTGTTCCAGAAATAGAAAAAGAGAAAACTGCCTATCTCCTATTATGAAGTCAATTTAGCCTTGATTCCAAAAATAACAAGAAAGGAAATATTAAGGTCATTTTACTTACAGATGTATTTGAGAAAGTCCTATAAAAATTATTAGCTAACTAAATCTAGTAGTGTCTTAAAATGATAATTCACCATGATAAAGGAGGGTTTAACTCAACATCAGAAAACCTAATTCACTATATTAATGGGGTAAAGGAAAAAGCTCAGATGATAATCTTAACAGATGAAAACAATGTACTTGATAATTTCATCATCCGCTCATTATTTGTTAAAAGCTCAAAGTAAACTCAGAATAAATGGGACCTGTCTTAATATGCTAAAGACTATGGGCCAGAAGCCTAGATCCAATACTACACTTCTTCGGAAAACTTAAACACATTTCTATAAGATTAGAAATGTATTTCATAGGTGCTGCAAATGACACATTGTAATAGTTAATAAACATGCTCAAGATCTGTGTGCACCTTTCCTAGAAAGGAATTATTTCCTAGAAAGGAATATTATCACAGACACAGAATAAGTAATGTTGCAAAATTTCTGACACACATCCCAAGACTTCTCTCTTTAAAGCTTTAGCCAGCTTTCCATTGAATGTCACTTGTAAAGAAGAAAGAGAGATCTGCCAATTGTTCTTGCCTCAAATAGGTTGTGATTAGAGGTCATCACTGTCAATCATTTCTGTCTCAGGAGAGGCAATAGAAATGCCAATACACTTCTTCCTCTTTATTAGTGGTGTGGATGTGGGGCAGAGAGAACTCTCTGTGTCTATTTCTCAAAAAGGTGAGTGTGTGTGTATGTGTGTGTGTGTGTGTGTGTGTGTGTGTGTGTGTGTCTGTCCATGTGTACATGCATCTATGTTTTTTGCTCTCCAAACAGGGAAACCAACATAGCAATGTCTGAATATTGGGTAATATTGGATTCAGTAGAGGATAAAAGGGCAGTACAACATCCCTTTCATATTGGTCTCTAAGTCTCTAGGTGTCCTGAAATTTCTCCTAATTGTCTACTTTAAGAACCAGAAATTAGGTCTAGCCTCTGATTCTGGGAAGCATCTATTACAACAGCAAGTCATTGAGACAGATGTGTTGGAGCTGAGTAGGACCCAGGTGGCAGGGTGCAGGTAGGAAAGGTGTTAGGAGGGGCCTCAAAATGAGGTAAGGAAAAGAAGAGGAGGCAGGGGTGGGTAGTCTCTGTTTCCACATCTACCCTTAGAAGGACATTTTATTAGAGCAGAGTATTGAAAATGTGGCCTATCCTAGAATCACCTTAGATTCCCAACTCTTGCCCAAGATTGCTAAATCAAACCTTTAGATGTAGGAATCTACATTTTAACAAGTTCTCCCATATCTACTATACCCAATAAAGGCTAAAGATTATTCTCTTAAGGGAAGATGATGGGCTTAAAAATAGTCAACTATTTCTATCATGTTCGCCGGTCTTTCCCAAGAAGAAATCCCTTGTGATGTGAAAAGATAATAATAGTCACTACTTACTGGATACTTACCATATGCCAGCTCCTACCCTAACCAATGACACAATGAGTAGCAATTACACAAAATTTTCAGGTGATGAAACAGAAACTAAAAGATGAAGTAACTTGCCTAAGATTGATCATTAAGAAATGAGTGGTGAGATCAGAGTTCAAATGCAGATTTCTTTAACTTCAAAATCATGGTCTTAACTTCTAAGTCAATGAAACAGAAAGTGCATCAAAATCACCCAGAGGCCTTGTTAAAACAGATTGCCAGGGTTTGCTCCCAGAGTTTCTAACTCAGTAGTCTGGGTGGGCCCTGAGAATTTGCATTTTAAAATGATGCTGCACTGTGGGCCCAGGGACCACACTTTGAGAAGCACTGTTCTAAACTATATTACCCCTCATTTCCCTTTTGTGTAAACCCGGAGGCCATAAGACTAGTTTTGGAAAACAGCCATATCTGTTTTCAAAGATGCCAACTGAAGACACTAAATGAAGTATGTGACAGCCTGTGTTGAGTCTGAGGTTGACCTAATTGTTATGAGTTTAAAGGAACAGATACAATCCCAGTCACTACAAAGCTAGTCTCAAAGTGTGAGACACTTGAACTCACCTATCAGAGGCACATTTTCTGAGGCCGGCATGATCTCTGCCACCATGAGCTGAAATACAGTCATGGCCAACAGGATGGTCACTCCCAAGGAGACCTTTTCCCCAGAGGCTGCTGGGAGATAGAAACTCAAGGGAGCCAGAAAAGATATGAGGACGCATGGGATGAGGAGGTTGACGATATAGAATGAGGACCTCCTCTTCAGAAGGAGAGTGAATGTCACATCTGGGTAAGGCTCAGAGCAGCAGCCATAGGAGATCACATTCTTCACAGCAGGCATGCCATGGACCTCCCACTCCACATCTTCGATGAAGTCAGAGAGGTCTCCACTGTCTAGGGCATTGAATATGTCCACCTGGTTGCCATTGTAGGTCCAGGAACCAAAGGTCAGATTGCACTGCTGGTTATCAAAGGGGAAATAGGTGACATCCACTACACAGGAGCTTTTGGTGATGGCTGGTGCATCCCAGGTGATTAGCCCATCATACCGCAGAACCACGTTGGTGTTCACAGGCTCAGAAGATTCGTCATCAGCCCTGGAGGCCAGAGGAGGAATATGAAAGCTGCTGGTCAAGACAACTCATCAACTCCCTCACTCCAAACAGCTCATGGCCCTGTGGCCATCACTTCAGTGCCTCTGGCAATGGGTCACCATTCTCCCTGTCACCCTGGCTGAAAGTCAGAACCAATTCCAATTTGCCCCTCTCCTCCATCTCCTGTAACTACTCAGGGCCAACTTCTCCGGAATTCTTCCTTTAAAGCATCTCTGCTCTATGTCCTTTCCTCTTCATTTCCAAAGCCAGTTTCTTAGTCCAGGTATAATGATTCAAGCATCTAGACAAAAAGTAACCCTGTTGAGGCTGAATTCTAACAGGGAGGCCTGCTTACCTGATTTTATTGACCTTGGACACAAGAATATTAAAATAGCCTTTTGTTGCGATTGGAAGAGTTGTACATGTTTATGATAGAACATCTGAAAAATGCAGACAAAAATTCATTTACCCATAACCTAAGAAATAATGATTTATTCTAGGTATATCTTCTTTTTGCTTTATCAACATTTATGCCTGGGTACAGAATTTCTATTTTCCTTTAGAGAGTGACTTTTTCTACCACCATTAGAAGGCAGATGAAATGTTCATCAAGGTGCCCCAGCCTCCTCTGGCCAAGGGCTAGATCCAACTGATTCACCCTCCCTGGAGTTTAGATCTTATGTAGACGGACCCAAAGACCAAAAACAGTCGCCCTGGTGGTGCTTCCTAATAAAACAAACCAGCTCAGGAGTCCTTGCTTCCTCAAACTCTAGAGCAGTCTCAGGGTGTCCTTTCTAAAAACTGGTCATTGATTTTTTTCCCCCTTTATTTTTTAAAAATGTTTATTCATTTTTGAGAGAGAGACAGAGACAGAGCACAAGTGGGGGAGGGGCAGAGAGAGAAGGAGACACAGAATCCCAAGCAGGGTCCAGGCTCTAAGCTGCCAGCCCAGAGCTTGACATGTGACTCGAACTCATAAACCATGAGATCATGACCTGAGCCAAAGTCAGACACCGACTGATCCACCCAGGTGCCCTTTTCTTCCCCCTTTAATTCAATGAGCTGCACCATGCCCTTCCAACAAACCCCTTTTTTCACAAAGTAGTCAAAGTCAGTTTTCAATGCTCACAACCTTAACTGATACGTTTCTGTTCACATTTAATGCGTATTTTCCAGTCTCCCTTATAATTTTTTCCCTCCAAAACATATTACGGTTAAATGTAATGTGAAAGGCATCCTGGATTGGATTCTGGAATAAAAAGCACATTTGTGGAAAAACTGGTGAAATCCAATAAAGTCTGTAGTTTAACTAATAACATTGTATTAGTTTTGACAAATGTACTGTTATATAAGATGTAACATCAGGGGAAGCTAGGTGAAGGGTATATAGGAACTCTCTGTACCATCTTTGCAACTTTTCTGGAAATCTAAAATTATCCTGAAATAAAAAAATTATTTTAGCATAAAAAGGATGATACAAAATTTAAAATGTGGTTATTCATTCATATTCTCCTGCAACATTATTTTCACGGCTGATAGTTTTCCTTTATATTCCATTATATAGAGATGCCATACTTATTTAACCCATCTGTTGATGCTCAACATTGTCAGTTTCCATGATTTGCATTTATAAACAATGCTGTAGTGAATGTCCCTGTAATTGAATCTTTGCATTTATCCACTGACTCTTTCCTTAGGTTGAATTGCTAGAAGAACATGTGCTGGATCAAAGAACTGGCATGTTTTAAAGGATTTTTTTCCACTTCTTAAAAATTGGGCACCACAACATTAATTGTAATGGTCTGAAGTGGACCAAATCAGACCATTATATTTAACCTTGTGGTGCTCAAATTTTAATGATGGCCTTTAATGAGGGTTTAGAGAGGAGGATCTTTAGAATGGGTCTTTGTGAAGATAACAAGCTGAAGTCATTTGAAAATCCCTGAACCTATCCTCTGTAACAATGAGAAATGTATACAGTTAGCTAAGTGAGAAGTGAGAACTATGTGTGAACAGAGAATATCACTCACCCATCCTGCCTTCTTGGTATAGGAGGAGAGAATCTCAGGATCAGAGAGAATCTCTTTGGACATTTCCAAAACAAAAAGAAGCCCCCACTTTCTTTCCAAGGCTAACTTCCTTTCCGATACTGTGATTCCTGTCCTCCCAGGTCTACTTCAGGATTCTGCATCTCTTGGTTCTCCTTTTTTTTTTTTTAATGTTTATTTATTTTTGAGAGACAGAGAGAGAGAGAGTGGGGGAGGGGCAGAGAGAGAGGGAGACACAGAATCCAAAGCGGGCTCCAGGCTGTGGGCTGTCAGCACAGAGCCTGACACAGGGCTCGAAGCCATGACCGTGAGATCATGACCTGAGCCAAAGTCGGATGCTCAGTAGTCTGAGCCACTCAGGTGCCCCTCTCTTGGTTCTTCTTATTCTATATCATGTAAACCTTTCCCAACGCTGTTCCATGAAAGGGCGGGCCTACTCCGGCCGACTCCATCTTGTTCTGTGTCCTTCACCTTGACCACGCCTCCTCCCCTTGAGTAACCTCCCACTCACCTGCCTAATAGGACTCCGACCCTTCCCCAGACCCTTCCCCAACCAATCGGCTGAGGCCACAGCCATTACCTCACCAACTGCCCCCAGGCCCCAATAAAACCTTTGTCCTTTTGACACTCGCTCTCTCTCCCCAGTATCTCACCACTGCATCAGTGCAGGTAGGGGATTGAGCTCGAGCTAGCTCGAATAAAGGCTCTTTTGCTTTTGCATCAGACTCGGCTCCCTAGTGGTCTTTGGGGATCACGAATTCTGGGCATAACATTCCACAGTCTCTCCTACCAGCTTTCCTTCCTCTCAGGCACTTCTCACTTCCCACCTCTTTTTCTATACACTGGAAGTGATACACGTTGCTGTCACTTCCCCATCTTGCTTTTATTCTTACAGTTTGGCTTCTTCCCAGTGTGTCCTCTTTCAAAGGTCATTCATGACGCAAACAGCAAATATAAAGACCTATTCTAAATTCCTATCCTGTTCAATTCTTCCCAAACATTTCACACTGTAAGTTTCTAGACATCCTCTCTTCCCTGTGGTTTCTATGACACAACTCTCTCTCACATCTTTTTCCACCCTTTTAGCCATTTCTTCTATATGTCTTCTTTAAATGTCTTCAGTGAAGAGTTTCACCAGCTTTATCCACAGTCATTTTCTTTCCTTCCTTGAGTAGTTCTATAAGGGCTCAAAGGGCTTTTGGTATCTCTATCCCTGACCTTCTTTCCAGGTTTAAGAATTGCCTTTTCAGTCTCTTCATTGGTTGTCTCCATGTGGATGTTCCTTTGGCCCCCCCAAACTGAATAGATCCCACACCAAACTCATCATTTTTTTCCTCAAACCTGTTCCTCTTCCCCTCCTTCACTTCTAAACTCATCTAACAAGTTTGCCATTTTCTCAACCACCTAGATGACTTAAGCGAGCCCTAATGCTAAATTCTAGACAAAGTCTGTCCATATATGATAAGGTACCCAATTCCTTAGTAGGTCTAAAACAAGTGTTAACATGGCCCACTGAAACCCAACCATTAGGGTCACCTGGCTATCTCAGTTGGTGGAGCATGCGACGCTTGATCTTGGGGTTGTGAGTTTGAGCCTGACATTAGGTATAGAGATTACTTGAAAAAAATTGGGGGGCACCTGAGTGGCTCAGTTGGTTGGGTGTCTGACTCTTGATTTTAGCTCAGATGATGATCTCATGGTTCATGAGTTCTAGCCCCCACATTGCATGGTCAGCGTGGAGCCTGCTTGGGATTCTCTCTCTGCCTCTTTCTCTCTCTGCTCCTCCCCCACTCATGCATGCATTTTCTTTCCCTCTCTCAAAATAAACAAATAAACTTAAAAAAAAACAAAAATTTAAAAACCTTGAAAAAAAAAAAAACAAACCCAACCGTTAGAATTCTCTCATGGGGCATCTGGGTGGCTCAGTCAGTTAAGCTTCGGACCCTTGATTTTGGTTCAGGTCATGATCTCAGTGTTGGTGACATCAGGCTCCCATGTCAGGCTTTGCACTGTCAGCCAGGAGCCTGCTTGGTATTCTCTCTATCCCTCTCTCTCTGCCCCTCCCCTGCTCTCTCTTGCATATCCTCTCTCTCTCTTTCTCTCTCTCAAAATAAATACATGAACTTTAAAAAAAAAAAAAAGAACTCTCTCATGATAAATGTACATTCAGAATTTCTATAATCCAGTCTTTACCCAGTGTAATGTTAGGAATCCTTGTAGCCTTTTGCACTAACCATTATATTGGCCATATACTTAGACTAAACAACCTTACTAGAACTCTGAGCCAAAATTGATTTATTCTTTTACTGATCTGGTAACAGAGCCAGTATCTGCTTGAATAACTATATTGCTAAAGAGCTCACTATTTTTTGGGAACATTCATTGCTTAAGTTATTCGCTATGATTATTTTTTAAACTGTTTGTCTTCCCTTTAACTTTTAATAGTCTTGGATTTTAGAGCAATTCTCTCTTTTCTTTACCTAATTTTCTCCTTGATTGACTAACATAGCTATCAAGTCTTCCCAAGGACTTCTTGCTTCCAAACTAAGTGTCAACAAATTCAACTGCTCCTCACATGAAGTAACTTCCAGACCAATAACCATCCTGAACACACCCTAACAAGTGTAGCCCTGTGGATTCAGGCACCAGTGGTGAATCTAGATGTTAAGCATCTTCCTGCCCAATCTATATTTATCACAACTGATTGGATCACTACCATATACTCCTCTTTCCTCTCCCACCACCACTCAGAAAGCCTATTTTGTGGTCTCCAAGGTTGTGTACTACCTTCTCAGAAATAATAAGAATATTATATCTGGGATCAGAAGAGTCTGCAGGTCCAGGGATTCAGCTGGAAGGGCCAGGGTCAGGAAAATGGCTATGACCAAGGTCCCTTCTTTGCCTGATCCTATAACTCTCTTCTATTCTCATTTCAGCTGGGTATAGGAATGCAAATGGCATCCAACCATAACTACATTTAGAGTTTCCTTTAAGTAATAAAATTCTGACATTACTGAGAAGGAGAATGCAAAGCAGAATAAAGGATCTGAGACAGAACTATCTGGGACAGGAAGGCAGAGAAGACTGAAGAGTCAACCCAGAGGAATAGAAAAGAGTTGATTAATCAACGTGATGAAAAGATTCCCTGAAAGGGACAGGGAACAGAACTCACACACCTCAAGGCCAATGATCTGGGGAGAAAGGGGGAGGGGAGAAAGGGGATAGAATTTAGGAAAGCCACAGTAGGTTTGTATGAGCTCATGAGCACACAACTGGCTTCTGTAACAACAGGGGACTGGGGTAGGTCTAACTTAGGTTACCATGCAAGCTTGCAAAGAAGCATGTCAGTAAGAGTTGCTCACACCTTTAGCCAACCAAAGCAGAGGGAGGAGAAGAACTAGCACTCTACTTTCCAGGAAGAACTGTTAGAATTGATAGGATACTGATAATGATCTATGTAAACTATATTCTCTGATTACCTGTGCCCGGTGAGTGAGAGGAACTAATGGACAATGTGACTCATTCTCTTGCCTTCTGTGTGTGTGTGTGTGTGTGTGTGTGTGTGTGTGTGACAGAGAGAGAGAGAGAAGAGTGTAGAAACTGGACTAATAAAGCACTAACACTTGGATGTTGTCTTGCTTGAAAAGAATATGGAAGGTCCACTCAGAATGGAGAAAGGTCAGAAGGATAGGTACTACAATTCAATAGGTCATGTCCCTTGGATGAGTTCTCTCAGTTGGCTGCAACTCACCAATGTTTCTTTCTGAAGGGAAATTCATGCGCACTAGAAGGCTGAGTTTTCAGGAGAGCTCCCCTGAACTGCCCCTCATTCACCCTGTACTGAGTCAAAGAGGAACCTTTCCCAACCCACAGGAACTTGGGTTCCAGAAGAAAAAGAGAGAAGCTCCTTCGAAACAGGTGGAGCTACTGAACATGAACTGTGATAGAGCAATGTGGTTCCTTCTCAAAGTGTGGTCCATGAACCAGCAGCACTGACATCTAAAGCTTACAGAAATGCAGAACATCAAACTCTATCTCAGACCTACTGAATCAAAATCTGTATTTTCACAAGCTCTTCAGGTGATTTATGTGCACTTTACAATCTGGGAAACATAAACCGTACCTACCCGTTTTCTCAAGGTTCCTAGCTCTGAAATCAGGAAAAGGCCAACTGATGATCTTATGATCTAGTTTATCTTCCACCGCAATGTCCGAAATCCACAGGTCAGCTACTAGCTGGCCCATTCTGATTTAATCTTAGTAGTATCACTGTTACTGATACATGATCTTGGAGAAGGGAGCACAACTGTTATGGGTTGAATTGTATCCCTCAGAAATGAATATGCTGAAATCCTAGCTCCCAGCACCTCAGAATGTAAATTTGGAATAGGGCCATTGCAAATGTAATTAATTAAGACAAGGTCATGCTGGAGTAGGGTAGCTCCTAATCCAACACAACTTTTGTTTTTATAAAATGGAAAAAACAGACATAGACAACACATTGAAGAACAGCATGTGAAGAGGAGGGCAGAGGTCAAGGTGATACTTCTACAAGTCCAGGGAAAACAAAGATTGCCAGCAACCACCAGAAGCTAGAGGAGAGGCATGGAACATATTCTCCTTCATAGCCTCAGAAAAAACCAACCTTGTACTTCTAGCCTCCAGAACTGTGAGCTAATATATTTCTGCTGTTTAAGCCACCCAGTTTGTGGTACTTTGTTAGAGCACCTTAGGAAACCAATACAACCTATAAAATTGTTTCTTATCCAAAAGGGGAACGTAGCTCTAAGCTTTTATGACCCATTATTATATTACCTAAGATTCTATGACCATGATTTCAGGGTCTAGATACATGAATTGGTACTTCATGAATGTTTTAAATATCTTTTTTCATTATGTGTCAATTCTGTTAAATCAGCAAGTTCATTCCCAAGTAATGACTGACTTGTACTTACTTGTTATATAGGACAATATCTGGCCTCCATACCAGGTCACTGGGGATCCTGATGGAATCCAGTCCATCATACTGGTCTCGATCCCACGTGAGATATGCATCATGCCAGATTTGGCGGATCCATAAATAGGCAGTCAGAATCTGGTTTCTTTCATCCTGCGCAAGTAACCATGATAGAACTCTGTCCAGCAGACACCTCAACCAAATGCCTTCCATCTCTAGAACACTTGTTCCTCGCAACAGAAATTCCAAGGGCACAAATCTATTTTCATTAAATAAATGAGAGCTTTTCTAGTCTAACCCTTTGACTGACTGCCAAGGCCATATTTTTTTCTACTTAATTTACTGTTCTGAATGTAAAGTGGACAAATGTTGAAGCCATCAGATCTTTGCATGGATCAACAGCCCAAATTTCTCTGAAAATTGATCAACTGATGATTCACTTGAATGAGAAAGTCAGAAAATATCTATAATATACAGAAGAAAGTCTTTCAAGTTTCATAACTTTGTGTAATTAAATGCCTATAAGCACTGAATAAGATACGCCATGTTAAAACACTACCTTTCTTTAAAAAAAAAAAAACAGGAATAAAATTCATGTAACATAAAACTCACCATTTAGCCCTCTTAAAATGTATGATTCAGTGGATTACAATGTTATACAACCATTACCGCTATCTAATTCCAGAAAATTGTTGTCAGCCCAAAAAAGAAACCCTATGACCATTAGGCCACCACTCACGAGTCTCTGGTTCTTCGACAGCCCCTAGCAACCACTACTCTGCTTTTTGTCTCTATGGTTCTGCCTATTTTGGACACCTCATAGAAAGGGAATCCTACAATATGTGACACCATCTCTGTCTAGATGATCAAGACTTACTCTTAATGGCCAGGATCAGGTAACATTTAGTGAAATTACTTTTGTAGAGAGCACCTCTCCTTGGTATTCCCTTCCTCCACCAGCTTGCACATGTTGCTGTCTGTTCTCACTCCCTCTCAAATTCTGGGTAAGACATCTCTTTGGAAAGCACTGTTAGCTTCATCCTTAGCACGATTTCAAAGAGTCACCACTTTATGTTACTTACCATGTCCTTAATCTGAGAAAGTGTAATCTGCAGGGTGACATTCAGGACTTTATCTGTATCTTCTACTGGACGAAGAGCATTGGAATAATCTTCAAAAAGGTCATTAAACAATTTCTGAGCATATTTTCCATCTGCTGTTTCTACAGCTGCTCAAAAAGAGGGACCTGGATCAATATGCAATGTCATATATATTTCAAAGCAAAGAACAACAAACTGAGGACCAGAACTGGGCAGGACCCAGCATCAGCTAGGGACAAGCTTTGGGTATATTTTTCTGGTGAGTCAATAAGAGGCACAAACACTTCCTGGCAGTTAGAGCATTTGTTCTGTTTGCTGGCCCACTCCCACCAAAGAGTGGCCCCCAAATGAGCTGAGATGGTTACACACCCATCAGCCTCTTACCTCTCAGTCTGGAGACAGCAAAGTAAATCCAGCAAAAGGAGATGCAGGAATGGGGCCAGTTCATCTTTTTCCTGAGCCTTTAGAAATTCCCAGCCACGCAGCAGTCTTCCACTTGCCTCCGTGAATTGGAAGGGTCTGGATACAAAGATCTCACTCTGCCACAGGCAGAGTTTCGCCAAGGCAGATGGAGAGCTCAGGCTTGTGGTGCACCTGGGGCCCCAGATCCTGAGATCCATACCCACCCTCCCTCCCCTCTGGTAATCTGAGCCAGGCAGCTCTGGCAGCAGAGATGCAGGAGGCTGGGTGGGCTAGATCCGGCAGTGGGCTAGATCTAGGGGAGCTGTCCCAGCTGGGGATCCCTAGTCACTTTCAGCAGGGATATCCAGACCAAACTTTCAGATGAAGACAGGTAGGAACCCAACACTCCGGAGACTCTGCCAAAGCAGAACGGGCAGTTTCTCCACATGCAGCAAGCAGATTCAGCCTGAGTCTAATGACAAAGGGAAGCCAAGCAGAACCTCCCCTCATGAGGCAGCCTCTGGAGAGGCCCTACAAATGTGCTTCACGAGGCATTTGCAGAGGGAAAGAGATCAGTTTCATGATCTCCAGAACAGATTACCTTCTGCTTCAACCCCTTCAAGATCTGGCACGTGTCTCCTGTGGTAATGTGAGTGAATATGGGGAGAGGGGCTGGGAGAAGAGCATTCACTCCCTTTGGAAGCCGCGCTGCAATCAGGATTTGAAGCCCAAGACCTAGGTTTGACTGCAAGCTCGAACCCTTCCTAGCTCTCTAGTACTAAGCTTTCCTGAGCTGGAGACCAGGAACATAATATTCTCTCGCTCCCAGCGCTACTGGGATCTTTATGTGAAATCACCCTAAAAAAAATTGTAAAGCACCATGTAAATGTTAGTAATTTTTGCCTCTCATTTTCCAGATCCAGAATGTCTATATTTATCGAGTCACCCAGGGTTTGCTAGCTCTAAAAAAGAAACATGGTTCAAAGGCCAATCAAATCAGCACAAAAATGATTCATAACTAATGAGGATATTACTGAGAATGCTGTTTCTTTGAATTTGAATGCTACTTTATTTAATTTCACAGTCATTTCTCACACGTGATCTAATTTTGCTCCCACGAAAGAATGTCAATTTCCAATTGCCATCACTTACTCCTCTGCTTGCCTGGGGAAACTGCCTTGGAAAACCAAATTAAGATCCTTTGGTTGCCTGGAATCAGAGCAAGGAAATTGGATAGCTCTATTTCATCAGGTTACAGCCGGCTGATGAGTCACCCTGTCCCTCTTCAGGAATATATCCTTCGAGTGGAACAGACACTCAAGCCATCAGCTAAGTGTGTTTCCTAATTGCCTGTGCCCTTGTGTGGATTGTGAAGACATTATTTTCCTGCTGCCCCCAGTCTGACTCACCCATCAAATGACAGTTCCTGCTGTAAACCCTCAGGCCTCCTTCAACAAACATCTGCTCTGGAGTCTCAGGGGCTGAAGGTCCTTTTGAAATTGAGTTGAACACCTCGTTTTCACATGAGGAAACTGAGGTCTAGAGATGTTGAGTAGTTTGCCTCTAGCAGCACTTGGCCAGGCCGCCTGCCCCAACCCAGGGTGCTCGACATGCTAATACGCCCCTCCTCCTTTTGTTGTTCACCCACTTGGCAATTGACAGCAGCTGGGTGATGACTTCTCCTGCTTAGAGAGTCTCTACCTGTGTTTCTTTGATCCTTCCTGACACTCAGAACAGCCCCTGGGGAGAGGTGCTGAGTGAACACTTGGTGCTGGTACTGCTGCCTGGAAGGTGATCATCCCTGGTGATCTTACTGTTCTTAATTAACTCGGTTCATTCATTTTGGTCACTTACAATTTGTTTAAATACTTAACAGTCGATACTAACCTACAATGTTAACACAATCCAAGTTAAAGCAGTACTTTTGGGGGTGGGGGCAATTCTGCCTCTTAGGGCAAAGATGCTAATGACCAAAAGCAAACTCCACCCCAATTCATTATAAAAGAACAATGCATGAACGAAGAATTTCAACAGAGATGTAAAATAGGCTTAAAAATTCATTCTAAAAACAACTATTAGGTGCTTTCCTAGGGACCTGCCTATCTTTATCCAATCACTCAGCTCCAAACTGTATAAAAAAGAAACCTGTAATATGGCAGTCCCATGCTTTTCAGGACACTAAATGAAAAAAAGAAATCTGTTGAATTCACTATTTAGGGTTAAGGCTGAGAAGCAGGCGGATATTCTTTAGACTGATTTACAATGAATATAATCTGAATAAACCTTAGCCATCCAGAAATGTGGACCCTCCAAATATACCCCATTTCCTGAGTGCCTCATTAACTTAGGGTCAGCCATATCCAATGGCATATTTATCCAGGTTAACAAAGCACTCAGATATTTAAGTTTGGAAGTTCATGGTTTTCATGCCAACAGCTACCTTCTCCCAGCTCGTGGTACTAGTTCTGAACAGCATCTCACCATAGTTTATGCAAAATCATCACCCAATAGAGTATACTCTAGCCAGATAAAGGGGACCCACAATTCAAAGAATTTCTAGAAAGCACGGGGCACCTGGATGGCTCAGTTGGTTAAGCATCTCACTCTTGATTTCAGCTCAGGTCGTGATCTCACAATTTGTGAGACCCAGCCTCGAGTCAGGCTCTGTGCTAACAGCATAGAGCCTGCTTGGTATTCTCTCTCTCCCTCTCTCTCTCTCTCTGCCCCTACCCTGCCTGTGCACACGTGTGTGTGCCCGAGCATGTTTTATCTCTCTCTCCCAAAATAAATAAATAAATCTTAAAAAAAAAAAAAAAAAAGAATTTCAGAGAGCACAATCTTTTCAACATCTGCACCTTTTGAGAAGTGGCAGTCCCTTGCCACAAGTTCACAGACATAAAGTATTCTAGCCATTTCAGAGTTTCTGGGAGCCAAATCCTCCCTAATGGACCAATTTTGAGGTACTTGTTTATTGCCAAAATGTAATATTATGATATTAGAGACATTCTATAAGATCATAATATTTAAAAAAAAATTTTAATGTTTTATTTATTTTTGAGAGAGAGACAGAGAGAGCACGAGCAGGGCAGGCACAGAGAGAGAGGGAGACACAGATCTGAAGCAGGCTCCAGGCTCTGAGCTGTCAGCACAGAGCCCGACATGGGACTCAAACCCACGAACCATGAGATCATTGCCTGAGCTGAAGTCAGAGGCTTAACCAACTGAACCACACAGGCACCCCCACAATATTTTCAATATAACTTATTACATAAGCAATACTTATCTATTGCAGAAAAATTAGAAAGTACAGAAAAGCACGATGAAGGGAAAACAAAGGTCACCCAGAAGAATCCAACCATGCAGAGAGAGATAAGGTTCACACGGCAGCCATCTTTTTTAAAATGCCCATGGAACTGTGTTGTCATGTCTTTGAGACCTGGAAGGACACAGGCCATTAGCAGAATTCTGTCTTGCTCATGAACACATGGAAGTGCAGAGGATGCTTCTAAATACTCTTTTCCTGTTCCCATGGGGTTGGCATTGTAGTTCACACACAGTCTACCTTCAAGGGTCTCCCATCCTTTCCTGTCCCTCTCCCCACCCCCAGGGTCCCTACTCAACCCTTTTGGGTTGAAACTTTGCCCATTGTGGTCAAGCCTCCCCGGGGGGAGGCGGTATCCCTGGCTCCATTCCAGAAGAATGATGGCAGTGTTTCCATCCCTTGGAAATAGAACTCCTGCCTGACAGAGAACTCTAGTGAATTGTTTTGCTGAAAGACTCTCTTCCCAGTAGCAGAGGAGGGGTGGGGGAGGACAAATACCTTCTTTCTGCTACATTTTCATTGCAAAAGTCAAAAATAATGTAAAGGGTTATTTTTATAAAAACCCCACAAATTAACATGGCATGAATATTTTCTCCATTTTATTAAATACGAAATCAGAATAGTTTTAACCCATGAAGAGCTTGTACAGATCATTTAGCTGAGCTCCCTCGTTTTACAAATGAGATAAGTGGGGCCTAGGGACAGGGTAGATAGGAAAGGAGCCAGATCTCCACCGAGAGCCATGCCGGAGGCCCTCGGCCCCTCCTAGCAATCGGCCCGAGCTCTCAGCTGTCCTGAGTGCTCAGAGCTGTGACACTTGCTAAGCAGTGCTTCTCAACTCATTTGAAATCTCAGGAAATGCCCCGTGGGCCTCCACACCCTATTTCACTGGTAGCAAGGAGCACCTGTTTCACTGCTACTTTCTACATTTGCTGGGTTCATCCTGGACATGAGTCTCAAAATTAAGAACTCAAAGTCCCTTTAAAGGGGGTGGTCTCCAAATTCTTTCACCACACACCGGAGTTTGCGATAAGGGCTGCCAGGTTGGATGCTGAGCCTTCCCCAGAGGGCTACCCACTAAGGCAGTGCTCTCCAAACATTTGGGGATTTGTTTCTGTCTTTGTTTTCATAATCAGGAGACACAGGATAGTGTAGAGTTTAAGAGTATAGACTCTGGAGTCGAACTGCTTGGATTCAAGTCCTGCCTGCCACATACTAGCTGTGTAACTTGCGGCAGATTACTTAACTTCTCCGTGCCTTAGTTTCCTCATCTATAAAATGGGGACAACTAAAATAGAGCCTGCCTCTTAGGGTTGTTTTGAGGATCAAGTAAGTTAATATATGTGAATTCCTAAGAACAGTGCTTGACCATAAAAAGGGTTAAGTGATAATTAAAGGGGGGAAATGCACTCCAGCATTTCCATGTAACCTGTAGCCATAATTCCTCTCTCTCTCCCTCTCTCTCTCATCTATCTTTCTTTCCATCCATTTCTTTGTACACCCCCACCCCAACTTCTTGACAGACTTAATTAGAAGATTATCCTTTTATCTGACAAGCAGCCCTACAAGTGAGAGAATAACAGCCCTGCCATTTTCTTGTTGTCTTCTTTTATTGCAATGTTAATATTACTGTCAATCCACAGTGGATTTATATGTTTGCTTTCTTACTTTTGTTTTTTTTTTTTTTGTTTTTTTTTTTTGGTAGTAGTCTTTTTAATCCTCTT